TTACTGAAGCTCATGATTTTAGGGCTCCACCCCCCAGTTCACTGGATCATCTGCAAGATGGGGCCTGGGATTCCGCAGACTTAGCAAGCACCCAAGTGGTTCTCATGACTGGGAGATGCTGGCTTCATTCTGATTGAATTTATGAGGCTTTATGAGGCTTTGCTCCTTAGTCATGAAGAGATGTAGAGAAAATATACATATGATTAAAATTTTGGAAAGTTGGCCTTTTGTAGAAAAGTTAAGGGAACTGGATTATTTAGCCTGTAAAATTTTTAAAATCTGAAACATGATTTAATAATTGTGTGCAAAAGAGTGAAAGTTTTATAAATGGAGAGCACAAACATTTGCAAAGTCAAGAGAGACTTAGGTTAACTAAGAGGAAGAAACTCCTGCTAAAATCAGCATCAGATACCGAGCATTTTTTAGACACCAAGGGGGTAAGAAATAAAGGCTGCTGTCAGTGTCTTCAGGGAGCTGAAGACAGGAGACAAAATGAACAAACATGAGCTGTCAAACAAAAGCCACAGTGCAGTATTACATCAAGTCTAGACTACAGGCTTCAGTGGAGCTGAGTAGGTGGCCCTTGGGGACATGACAGAGTAGAGAAGCAGAGAAAGGTCACAAGAAAAGGCCTGAGAGCCTGCAGGGCTTGAGCAAGTTTTGGAAGTTAGCCTTTACATAGGTGGCTGGACAGCAGAACATTCCAAAGCAGTGTCTTCCCGTGTTTTTTACTGTGATTCTCCAGTAGGAAACGTTTCATATCATAGCCCAGTATACACATAATAGACATGAGTTTTATAAAGCATTTAACCTTATTAAATGTGATTATGTTTTCTTTTTTTCCTCTTTCATTTTTTAAAAATATTTTCAGTTGTAGATGGACACAATACCTTTATGTATTTACTTACTTATTTTTGTGTGTGTGCTGAGGATCGAACCCAGTGCCTCACATGTGCCAGGCAAGCGCTTTACCACTGAGCCACAACCTCAGCCCTCTTTCATTTTTTAAATATGTTACATTAACTAGTTAATATGTTGAAAACTCTAAGGGGACCAGGAGCCCACTGTGGGGCCAGCCTTATGGAAGAAGTGCTAATTAGAGGGGAGGATTTTCAAGGGAAGTAGTGACTGGTGACATAGTGCTCTTTAGAAGCCCTCCTCAATTCTGCAGTATGAATGAATTACTGTGGAATGTTATGGCAAAATTCCAAACTTCATCTCTTTATCCAGCCAACCCTACCTTTGGACGTGGATTGACAATGGTTTTTTTGAGATTTCTCTTCAAAGTTTGATTTTGATTTAGTACTTTCAGTAGAGGCATGTGATAGGGAACAGGCATTCACTTCTGGGTACCCCAAAGCAATGACATTCCAAGTGCTTCTTAAATGTTTTGCCTTGCATTGTAAGTGGCCATGCAGAATGTGGTGTATGGAACAGTTACAGAGGAAAGGAAGTAGGCAGTATTTCCATGGGTAAGTTTAGGAGGGGAAAGTGGTGGCACCTAGAAAGCTGGGCAATTATGTGTCTCGGAGCTAATTGCAGATAGCCAGTGATCTGGCCCAGGACTGAGAACCTTACAGCACTGGCTCCAGGCAGTGGAGGTGAAAGACCATCACCCATCACTCTGGGTGATGGCCTTTCACCTTGGAAGCCTCACTGTTCAGAATCCAGATTTGTGGAGCAGAGGTCTAATTAGGACCCTCTTGCCCTCCACCTTGAGCCGTACTTTTGAGACTAAAACTTTTACCTTCTTTCTGCCTTTCCCAACTGATGGTCTGCCCTCTCCCACCCCTCCAGGGCTTGCCTCTGCCTTTCCTCATTCTTTCAGATGGTTCCTTTCTCTGCTCAAACTCTAAGACCTTCAGAATCCATGAGCACCTGTCATTTTCCCTATTGCTGCTAACCCTGAGCCCTGTCAGCAACCTGCAGATTGAAAGGTGTTCTAGATTATTTTTTCAGTATTTCCTTGTGGGAAGCCATGCTTTCTTTGCCTTTTCTCCAAGAGAAAATTAGTGTCCTGTCTGCTTGCAGAACAGACTTTAGATAAGAGGCTTTTTAGACCTAAAGGAATGTGTAGTTGACCTTGCCCTCCAAAGAATAGGGGTGGGGGAACCTTTCATGCTGTGTCCTAGAAAGGTTGAACTCTCTGCAGATCCATGTGGAAGTGATTTTAGGGAAGCCCTACGATCAGATTTTTCTCTACTTAAAATCGGAGTGCCTTAGCAGAACTGAAAAGGAAAATTCTTTCATATGGTCCTTCCTTTGCTTAAGTAATTTCAGTCCTGCGGTCTAAGATTTAATATCCTTTTGATCTTCCCAATCCGGTTTTAATTTGGTCAGTTAGAGTTGAGGAAGGATTTTAAAAGACAATAATTTTCCCTTTTAGGATAACATAGGTGGGGATTATTCATTAAATGTACTTCATAAACTTTTTTGGTTTTTTGCTTGTAAAATACACTCTGGAGGTAAATTGACTACAGTCTTTCTCTAGTAAGAAAGAGTTTTTGCTATAGTTGTTTTGTGCAGTCGTTAGTAAACCTTCCTACTCTACTAACAAATTCTTATGCTGGGGCAGTGTGCTGCTTGTGTTGGTCTTCTCTGGAAGGCCTTATTTGTAATTGAAGACGCAACCTACTGTCTTGTTTGTGAGCAGATTGATTGTTGTGGAAGGAGGGTAGATGACATGGGTCCTGACACATTCTTACTTTGACAAGCTTGATGAAAGGAGCCATGTAATCTCTATGGTAGCCACTGGCTCCTGGCACATGAAGTCTCAAAGATGTGTGCACTAGGAAAATTTTCAGTACTCAGGAGCCATGTGTGACTCTGGGATTAGATTTTGCTTTGCTAAAAGACAAGGGGGCACTGTCTTATACATTGCAAGATTAGCAGCACCCTGGTCTTCACCTTTTAGGTGCCAGTGGTCCTCCCTGATAGGGACAATCAAAAATGTTCCTAAAGCTTGGCAAATGTTCTTGGAGGGAGGAGGGCAAAAATCACTCTGGATGAGAATCATTGGCCTTGTGGCTACAGTATTGGTCAGTAGGAATATAAAACAGTTCCATTATCATAGATGGTACTATTCTAGAATAATCCCTAGCAAAATTTGATTGGGGAAAATTTGCCGAGTAAAGATTTTGAACTTTTGAAGAATCACAGTGGTCATTCAACCCAAAGACTTGGGAAAGTGAGACACAGAGAGGTTATGGGTAACTACGGGCACATAGCATGTCAGTTTGGGACTTCAGATTCTTGAATCTTAGAGGACAAACTGCTGATTTTCCTTCAGACTCACTCATTCTTACTGTGTTCCTGCACTCAGTGATGAACACTGGGGAGAAAGAAACCCTGAAAAATGGGAGTGACCCAGTCCTGAGGCTCACAGATTTGCAATTCCTGGGCATATCTGCTGGGCCCACCTTTAATCTCTGACAGGGTGAGTCCTAATGGGTCTCCTGGTTCCATCAGCACAGAGGTTGGGAACACACTCCTGGGGCTGTGGAAGACTGTAATCCTGTAAAATTCCCTCTTTATAGCTTGCCAATCTTCAATATTACCTCTATCTGCTCTCTTGTCATGGTCCACAGTAAGGCCTTTAATTGGAAATGCTTGTGGTTTCTTAATCTTCAAAGGTCAAAAGGAAACACAGAGCCCTGAAGATCTATCTGTAGAAAATTTTAGGATTGAGCATACTAGTAGATGCCTGTAATCCTAGTGACTCTGGAGGCTGAGGCATGAGGATTGCAAATTTGAGGCCAGCCTGCACAGTTAAAAAGATCCTATCTCAATAAATAAACAAACAAACAAACAAAAGGCTGGGGATATAGCCCAGGGATAGAGTGCCCCTGGGTTCAATGCCAGTTCCAAGGTGGGTGAAGGCACAGAGAAGAGAAGGAAGGGTTGGGAGCTTTGGGGAGGGAGGACATTGTCAGTCCCAGGGTAATGATATCCACAGCTGAAGAAGCCAGAAAGTAGGATGACCTCATTGCCTGCTGCAGGGGTGCCTTGGAGACTTTCTCCCTTCTCTCTTCCCTCAAATCCTTTATGTTTACACACCTTCCAGGCCCTCAATCCTTGATTCTATTCTCTCATCTTCTGCTTCACAGCCTTCTGTGGCTCACTGCTACCTTTTCACACATTTGAAACAGAGATCATCTATCCCACTCCTAAGAGTAAAGCCTGTTTTTTTGTTGTTGTTGTTGTTTTTCATGCACATGAAATTTTTGCTGTCACTGTGGTTTAGAAGTTATTGGTGGAGGTATTGCTGTTAGATTTTTTTTTTTTTTAGTTGTAGATGGACACAATACCTTTATTTTATCTATTTATTTTTATGTGGTGCTGAGGACTGAACCCAGTGCCTCCAACATGCCAGACAAGCTTCTCTACCAGCAAGCCGCAACCCCAGCCCTTGCTGTTAGATTTTTAATAGCTTACTCAGGAAGTTGTTTTGTCTCTGCTGATACTTTGTTTAGTTAGTAGCCTGGACAACTACTTAAAATCATCATGACTCGAAAATCAAGGCCCAGTAAACAGGCGAGAAAGAGTAGCCATAAATGCAGATGAAAGAATTATGTGTACTTAAAGCCTAGGGTAACCTTGAGCTATTGGCCAGTTGGATTCTGTAACACAGTGCACTTGAGTGAGTTGTGGACTAGGTCAAAGGCCAACATTGTCACTCAGGTTGCTGGCTGTCAAGTTTAGCTAGAAATTAGCTAATGTGTAAACTGACCTAGGTCTTCCTAAGTTGCTTCATCTTCTCAAGAATTCTTAAAAGGAATAACTATCACAGTTTGCTGATGGCCAATACATCACTGAACTGTTGATGTTTTCTTTGGAGACCGAGGCCTACTGGAGTGTTCCCATGGTGAAGGGGAAGGTATTTATAAAGTTGCCCATTTGGGGGTAGGTTTTGATTTGAGCTAGGAAGACCAAGGTCTGTGCTTCAGCATGGCCGTGGCCCATGTTGTACATCAGCGCTGACTCTTCCCTCTGCTCCACAGACCAACGAGTGGAACAAGAATGATGACCGCCTGCTGCAGGCTGTGGAGAATGGAGACTCGGAGAAGGTGGCCTCTCTGCTGGGCAAGAAGGGGGCCAGCGCCACCAAGCATGACAGCGAGGGCAAGACCGCGTAAGCCAAAAACACTGGTTCCCGTGTCTGCCCATTCTGGGTTTCAGAATATTCCCTGGAATCCCGAGTGTCCATGAGGGAGTTTCACAAGTGCCTTATGGGGCCTTTGTGAAGTTATTGCTGTTTGCCCTCCCACTCCCATGTTAAAACGTGTATGAGGATGTTTTAATCTGGTTTCTGTCCCTTCTAATTCCAGATGACACTTTGAGCTTTCCCCCGAGTGGCTGTTTGTTATCCAAACATGTAACCAAAGATTTCACCAGAGAACAAATAGCACCAAGATTGCTACCAGTTAGTGGTTGGGAAATAAATTTTAAGATAAGAAACAGCAGAAAAAGAGAAAAATATTTTTTTTCTGTAACCCTCAAACCTTACTATTTATAATTTATGGAATCACCCCCTTCCATAACATAGATAACTACATGAATACTGTAGTATGATTTTGCTTCATGCCTTGCTACACGTGGTACTCTTGCCTTCTATAAAAGTTACATATTTGAGTACAAGACTGTGCGTGTGCACTTGTGCATATAGGCACCTATTTAGGTATTTTTATCCATCCTTATCCATCCTGGTATTGTAGAAAGGTCAGTGACTTTGGAGCTATACAGGCTTGTCCTATGGAGCCTATCACTTAAGAGTTATGTAATCCTTGAACCTCAGCTTGCTCACTGTAAGATGGACATGATATTACTTAATTGCTAGAGTAATTATGAGTGCAATACAAGATACCAGAGTGGGTTGCCCTCAAAAGCAGGCTATGAGACAAGGACATGGGTGCCAGTAGTTTTTGACTCCAGATATTCTAGGAAGCATGGGTCACAAAGGAGCTCTGTGTAGGATTTATTGCAGGGAATTGGGATGCTTTCCTGATGAGGGTTTCTGGTAGTTTGTTTAGACTTAGAGCAGGAGTTAGCAAACTATGACTTACTATCTACTTTTATAAATAAAGTTTTATTGGAACACAGCCACACACGTTTATTTAATCATTGTCCATGGCTGCTTCTGCACTACAAAGGCAGAACTGAGTAGCTGCAGCACAGACCATGTGGCACACAAGCCCAAACTATTTACCATCTGGCCTTTTACATAAAAATGTTTTGCCTAAGATTAGATGATTCAGAGTTATCCTACCTGAAGGGTAAGGAAAGTGGGGTGTATCTCTTAATTTCCTGCTCCCCAGAGGTTGAGTGCTGCTCCTAGGGGCTGTAGTGCTCCTTGCCAGAAAAGGTGCAAAAGTATATGGGGCACCCACAGCTATAGACCCTGTATGGAGAGAGCCGTCACAGTTCCCAGCTAATGATAGGCACTTGACAAAGCTCCCTTCCCTTCTCATCCAAGATTAGTGGTTCTCCATCCTGGGAGCTTTTGTATTAGTATTACCCAAATGCTTTTAAGAAATACTGATGCCATGTGATACATCAATCAGCAAGATGTTCCTAATTGCTTGGTCTGGGGAGAAGCCCAGGAATCAATATTGTTTTCTCCTGAGATTTTTGGTGGTAGGCACTTGGCTTTTCAACTACTTTGTATACCTCTGTGTAGCTTCTTGATATCTACTCCCCCAACCTAGCTTTGTAGACAATATTTTATATGTGTCACTGCAGTGAAAAGGGGAGATAAATGTTTGTGATCATTTTATCTAAAATGATACTCAGTGAAAAGAAGATAGAAAAATCTGCATTAGCGGCTCAGCCACAATTATGAACACCTTAACAAATTTGTTCTTTTGGTTCATATTTCTTGTGTACGAAATACATGACTAGACAATCATTTTCTACTCTCTTTTATTGTGGTAAAATATACATAACATAAAGTTTACCATTTTTGTGCTTTTAAAATATACAGTTCACAGTGTGGAACAACCATCCTCACTATCAATTTCCTTCCCCATTCCCCTGGCAACCATGAGTCAGCCATACCTGGATTTGCCTATTCTGCACAGATCATATAAATGGAACCATAGAATATTGGCCTTTTGTGTCTGGCTCCCTTAACTTAGCATGTTTTCCGGGCTCATCCACTTTGTAACATGTATTCATTCTGTTCTCCTTGAGTAGTGGAAGTGCAGTTATATAGACATCACAGATCTCCCTGAACTAACTCTAGACATAGTTCTCACACCTCTGACTGTGCACTCACAAGACAGCTATTTTTCATTTTTCTTTCCATGATACATAATGTGGAAAGTTAGAAGAATGAATGAAAAAGGAAGAGAGGAGGTAATTATTTTTCCAGTGTAGGATTTTCCATAAGCAATCATCTGTCAACACTTCATTTTTCTGCTTGGGATATTCCTTTTGAGGATTAAAGTTATTAACTGGTAACTGTAAGAATTTAATTTTTAAAGGCACCACAGACTTCAATCTTAGTTTCATAGTTTCGTTCAGGCCTAAGGGTCTGAGTATTGAGAATAAGGTAGGGCTGTGAGGTAGGAAACCTTCTTCCTTAACCCTTTGTCATCGCATAATAATACCAATTCTGGGGCTGTGTTATGAAGTGGACAGTTGGTTGCCTTGCCTCAGCCTGATCACCTTTGGAAGTCTGAACTTCTGTACTGAAGTTTAGTCTCATCTGTGCATCCTGGACTGAGGGCCCACTTGAAGATTTTCCCTAAGCTGTGGAGATTTTTTCTGTAGTTCCTCTTCTTTCCGGGTGCCTTCGGTTTGGTAGAATGTGAAATGGTAACATTCTAAGAGTGGCTCTGAGTTCATGTCAGAACCAGTGCTCTCCTCTGCTGGAGCTCTTGGCTAGACCAGCCCTTGGAGCTGCCGGGGTGGCATGTGTTGATGGACACTAAGAGATGTTTTGCTTCTAAGGATAAGGCCCCATCACTCTTGAAAATTAGGTCCTGGACAGCACTTGGCCTCATTTTCTGCCTGCTCATTAAGAGTTTACCCTTCCTTTTATACAGCACCACATCAAAACTAGGCTGGAGGCCTATTTTCTCGAGAGCTTTTGTGATAGTACATTTTGTCATTTGGTATAAAAATCTACAATTCCATGTCAGCCCCAAGTCCTGATTTGGCTTTCAAGGTTGTCCCTGCGGCTCCACCCTTATCTAAATTGTTATCTCCCATCGGGGCCTTCTTCTGGAGGTGGGGCTGCCTGCTTCTGTCCTCCTTCCAGGTAAAAATGGCCACAGATTTGCCCAGTTGTATTCAATGTCCAGTTGTATTCCATTGTATTCAAAGAACAGGAACAATAGGAATGTTCCACCTATGAAAAGCCTTTGTTTTCTGACTCTTGCACAACACGGTAAACTCTGTGAGGACAAGCCTCAGAACATTTTTTGTAGAGCTGGTCTTTCTCAGTATTCCATCCTTGTCAAAGGGGCCGTTGAATTGCCATTTACTGAAGTGACCTTTCAGTGTGGAGAAAATTGCTCTTTCTGCTCAGAGTTGCTCATGGGTAAATCATCCAGAAGTGAGTTAACTTGGGATTGAGAGCAGAAAGGACTATTCCAGTGACTGTCACAATCTGTACCCCAGTTTCCAGGGCAGCTTAAATGCAGAAATACTTAGCCTGTACTTCCTAGAAAACCAGAGGACCCAGAAAGTCCCGAGAATGTGCTGGCAAAGGCAGCCATTTCTCAGACATTCTCCAGAAGCTTCTATAAGCCAAGGTCAGAAACCAGATGGGTGATTGGGTAATTCCTTAGACTTTTCAGTTTCTTCCTGAAATATTTCCTTTCTGAGAAAGATAAGAAATCAAGTCAGAATTTTTTCTCCCTCTAGGACTGATCAAAGAGGGGTTAAAAAAAAAAGTGAAAGCAATCAAATGACTGGAATTCATTTAGGAAAGAGTAAAAGAAGGGTGGGTGTCTTGGTCGGAAGAGAAGAAAATGGAGCAGGGCAGAGTTATAGCTGCAGGCTGTGTTTATGGAGTCAGGCTTGGCTTGCCTCTGCCCCATCTGTTCTCTTTCCACGGGGGAGACGTGAGGAAGTGGAAGGATGTCGGTGCCCTGAAACCTCTTACCGGAGAAGAACCTAATTGTTTCAAGATGGTTTCCCCTACATTTGGATGTGCCTTTAATTAAAGTTATGTGTGTTTGTCTTAGGAACAACCAGACTAAATAAAGTCACTACTGGGACTGTTGTATGTGAACAAATGCCTACCAGGACATGTGTGTATAGACTTTAAAAAAAAATATGTATATACACACTATACACACACACACACACACACACACACACACACACACACGCATGTGCTTTCATGTAGTCCACATTGCAGAAACCTGATCATTTTGGCTTTGAAAGCAAGAATTTGTGAAATTATTGTTAGATTACTCTATGGAACTTAAACATAACATGGGGGAAGTAGGCCTTGAAAAACAGTACAATAATGGGCTTTCCTAGCTAGTGTCTTGTTGTACTTTCTGTTTTCTTGTTTTTTTTCAGAATAGGCATGTATTAGAAATATTATACCAGCAATTCAGGCTTAGACATCAAATCATACCACCTGATCAGCTTCCTCCAGTTCTTCTCTCAAATGCATGACAAATTAATTTACCTGAAACCATTACCTACTATATATACAATTGCAGCCTCTATCCTTCCCTGAAAAATTACCCTATGTATTCCTAAGACCTTTTGACATTTGACATAATGATATGCTATATCCACTCTGATTTGGGCCATGTGGATTTTTGATGGCAATAATAACCTCTCTTTGTACATTGCAAGTATACTCAAGTGTTTGTGTTTCATGAATCTACTAGTTGGTAGGTACTCCTTTAGTCTAAACTGTTCCAAACTGTTGTGAACAGATTTTTTTTTAAAAAAGAGCAGATATGGGTTTTGACTGCAAGAGACATAATGTCTAGTTAGGAAGGTAAGACCAGTGAAAATACTGGTGAATAATTATAATAATATTGCTAATCTGTAAAATACTGACCATAGGGGGTCAGGACAGGAGTGCTAATGTGATACTGGGTAGCTAAGAAATGCTGCCTGTCTGAGATGTAAAGTGAGGTAACTTGAAGAATGAATGGATGG